TTCTATGATTCTATGATTCTATGAACATTGAAATGCAATTTTCATTGCTTTAGAATCTCTGGGAAATCATCCAGAGTCATCTGGGTATCATCTAAAGCGCCATTTAAGCAGAAGTTTGGATCCAAACTTCAGTTGGGCAATTCACGTATACTTAGATGACTGTAGGCACCTACAGTACCTCATATTTAAATGAAATCTTTTGCAGCCTCTGAAAGTCTGCTTTTGGATATGTCCGGTAGCATCCTGGCCTTTGCAAAGCTGCATGCCTTTGTATCTACTTCCTATATGTTCTCAAGTACTAAAGGCCATGCATAAGAGTTAGATTGCTAACTTTCAGATGTTGCAGCCTTGCCTGTCTCAATGGCCCTTTCTTGAATGTCACACGTCACCCCAAAGCCTTAGGGGTAAGTGGAGAAATGACATACTTTTCACTACCTTAATTGCATTATTATGTGAACACTTACAGTAACTGAGTATTTACAATTGATCTGTTGACTAGAGAAATACAGTCACTTCCAGTGGTGTCTGGTTTGCATACATTTTTAAAATGATAGTATTTATAGATATAAATATACTATACATATAAATACTAGCTAGCTTTCCTGTACCTTACTATAACTGTAACTTAAGATTACAGTAAAGCAGTATCATCTGTAATTTAATTAACATGTTAAATCACGTATCAAAATTACACCTTTATTGCTGAATCAAGAAAATGCCATTTCCAAATGTTTTGTTCATTATATTGTATGCCATGGGCTGTCACATGAAGGATAAACTTACCTTGCAAAGTGTTGAAAATGGTAAAGAGGTAAGTAAATACCTCATTTACTGTGAAGAAAGCAAATCCCCAAGTAATTCCCAACAAGAATGTGAGGCCAGCAACACTCCTAAGGTCTTGAATACTGGTTTTCCTTTGAGCACCAAGTTGTTTTTTCTTTTTAATACGACAGAGCTGGATCAGCACAACAATGAACATGCTGATATTGATCAGGAATATCAGGCAAAAGTATCCCACAGCGGTAATATAGAAGACAATTCTATTTTTAATCCAGCAGCTAGAACACAAGAACAGTCTGTCAACCATTATCAGAAACAGAAATTAAGTAAAATAAACATGAGATAAAGGTGTAATTTGTTGCACATTTTTGCCTCTTTAGTAAAAAGCATTTGTTTGGCCAAAGGGTAAGAGCTTTCATATAGGCAATAACCACAAAACACATGACATACTGTAGAGCTACACCATTTCAAAGCTCTCCCATTGCTTCTTTCCCTTCCCCACTTTTACTCTAAAGAAAACCAACTTCGTAGGACCTCCCTCCCACCCACCCCCAAAAAAGCGCCTCCCTTTAACTCACAATTCATCAGGTCTGTTTATTGAAACCTTTCCAGTGGTTATAAGTCCATAATTATCTGGTGATACTGCCAACACAATAGACACAACTACTGCTGGTAATCCTAAAAGATTATGAGCAAACACATAAGTGAAAATCATGACAAAGACAGTATTATGATGACTTGAAATTATTATATTTTTCTGTGAAAACTACAACCTATTTCTGAAATTTGTCTGTTGAATTCTGTTGACTACTAGCTGTCTGAAAGAATCTAAAAACTGGAGCATTCAAACTGCTCAGGAGCATAACTTGCAAAGAAACAAGTTCTTCTCCACAGCTAGCTCCAAACTCTTCTAAATAAGGCAACAAATAAGATAACTCATCAAACTGATTTAAAACATCAAATACAGGATACCCGATTTTCTTTCTTACATCTGTTTTAAGAAAATAATTCTATTGATTTTAGAGCCTTCACTCATGTTTACTGAAGTGGCCAGTGAGGATAATCAGGTCCAGAATCTTTTCATCCTTTAACCAATTAGATCTATTTTGCTGCTTTTTGTTAGCAACAGTGCTATCCCAGAAATAGAATATATATACTTATTAGCATTTATTTTTAAAACAGAACCGACACTATCCATCTGGTAAATGGAAATGGAAGTATGCACATTCAAAATTGGTTCTATTGTACTTGCACAAGGAAAATTCATTATCAATTTGCATTGCAGCAGCCTCAGTTCTGCAGTTAGGGGGGAGTTCCCTACCTTAGAAAGGTGGAATATATAGGATCAGGTGTACTGATAATGAATACCCGGTCACCGCAAGGTCATAACATTTAATGACTGCTGCATTTTCATTTCTGAACTGTGTCACATTCACTGAAATACTTGATAAGAGGATTTATCTATTTAGCATCCAAAAGGAAAAAAAAAACCACAGTAAAAAATACATACCCCAACCAACAATGCAAAATTTAAGAATGTATTTCCGTACATAGGTATTAAAGACTTTCACAAGGGCCAGATACATGTGGAAAGCTTCTAGGCCCATCCAAGTGAAGGAAACCAAGAGGAAATAGTGAAGAAATACTGCAACTGCAATGCATAGGCCTCGTGTATCATACAGTGCGATCCATGAGTCAAGGAGGAAAACTAAGTTGAGTAGAAGTAATGCAGCACACAGCTGAATAAGGATTTTGGAGGGGTAGTCTCTCCGGATTTTCCTAAAAAAGCAAATTAGTGAGATGACATTGGTTGTCCAAGGATCCCTAGCTTAATTCCTCTCTTGTAGTCCTTAGTGCACAAATGCCAATTAAAAAAAAAATTATATATTTTCATTCATATATGCTTCATATATTGCATATATACATGGAGAGAGTAATTTACAAGATTTCCAAATTAACGGTCTGTATGAATAAAATTTGTTATAACAAGATTACATTCTCCTTGTTACAGTACTTCCAAAAACCAAAACGTGACTGTTCTTTATTGCTAAGCTAGATTAGGCTTTTGACTGGACTTCTAAAACCTTGATAGAGACAAGTTAAGTCCTTGATGACAGGATAATGAGAGAACAAACGTGTGCCGAATAACTTCGAGGAGAATTTCCAAAATATAGCATGGAGGATTCAATAGTTAAGGCTTAAACATAAGAAAATGTTCTGACAAACAACAAAGAATATAAATGTGTTTAAAAATGCTATCATTCTGCACTGCTGTATATATGTTGTATCTTAAACACATTCCTTCACACTTCTATTATGATAATCCATTATAAAATATTTAAGACTGCTACTTCTTCACTTCTTACTGCACAGAGCCTCATGATTAATTCACCTGTCCACAAGATTAACATTCCTGAAGACTGAATCAACACCCTCCTGGTAAACTGGACAAATTTGTGCATTAACAGAGACAGAATCCATAACTATTGGAAATGACTTTGCAGTGAAGACTACAAGCAGTCATAATTGAAGGCTAATGGGAGCTTAGTTGAACAGGTACTTACTCAAAGGCTATGTAGGTCACAAGAGTAATAGAAAGAAAAATTGCAGAGAGGCCACAGCCTATATAAGATATAAAAGTCAGTACCAATTCTTGTGTGGGATTCAAAGGAGTATTTCCATACAAGTTCTGAAACAGAAGGAGAAGTTAATTTCAGAGAACATGTTTATTAAATGGAAAAAGATCAAAAAAACCCAAAATGTACCTTTCCCTCTGCAATTAAAAAAAATTCTTTTCATGATGGATCTTATAAAAGGTTAACTGAAAAACAGAAAAGTCAATCTAGTCCTGCAAGGAGCAGGGAGCTGGACTCGATGATCCTTATGGGTCCCTTCCAACTTGACATATTCTATGATTCTATGATTTGATTAAAAACCTGTTTTAAATTTGATTTATCCTAATTTTTATTTCCTACAATATAAAAAACTGCCTAAATGTAAAAGCTGCATTTTAATAAGCACTTAAGGAATTTTTTACTTCAGTGGAACTCATGGGCCCCCATTCAACAAGCAGCTTAAGCACATGACTAATTTTATGGCTGTATGTACTAACACTGAAGTGAATAGAACATGAGCAATATTTCACAGGTGGTATGTGCTTACTGAATCCTCATTTGCTTAAGATAACACATGCTTAAATGTTTTCTTGAATTAGGGTAAGATTGCATAATTTTTTAAATAATTACCATCAAAACTGCAAAGCTTGTGAGGTGGTTGCATGAACAGACTGTTTCATTTACTCTACTTTCTTTAACTGTGCAACCTTCATATGACCAGCCTCCATGTCCACCTGTTAAAGAAAACAGCTTTGTTATTAATAAAAGCCTTTATTTATATTAACATGAGTTAACATAGCTAAACCAGCATGATATCTTGGGCGATACTTACCGTTTTTATTAAAGTCCCAAAAAACACACCTAACTGTTGAATTATCCTGTTTGGGAGGTAAAAAAAAAAAATTACTGAACTATGAGTTTATGATCAAGTAATTTATGAATTTTCTACAAAATACAGGCAAGAATAAATACTGTACACAGCAAATACACCAGTTTTACATGAACACAAAATGAATCTAGGTGCATAGAATGGATTAATATTGCAATACGCATGTGAAAATATGCTGAACAAATTTGAAGTCACCATATAGGAGCTAGCTCTCATGCTTATGCTAAGATTCTGTTCCTGGTAGAACATTATGAATGCTGTTTCATTGTCTTCCCATACTATACAAATTCTTGAGATTTCTCATCCTTCCTCATTTTGTAAGTATCAAGAAAATGACCACACAGAAAAGGAAAAACTCTTTCATTTGCAAACATTTGATCACTTTATATTACTATGATGTTAAAGCTTTATAGATTTCACACACACGAAAATGCTAAAAATAGTAGCAGTAATACAACTATACTGCTATGAATACTAATACTTCTACAGTTACATCTCAAAACTCAGTATTATATCAATACAAGTAAAGACTACACTAAGCCAGCTCTAGAAAAAAGCTTCAGGTACATTAGCGGAATCCCTACATTCTTCAGGTTACAATATTTTAGTATTTTTAACTCTTTTAAGGAATGGGATAGAAGATTTTAATCCCTGATGCTCATTTAGGAAAGAGATGCTGTATATGAGCCCTAATACTTCCAGATGACACAATCCTGTGTTCCAGTTTAAGGAACTTCCCCCTAAGAAAAAAGACATATTGCTTTCTGGGCATGTAGCACCTACAAATGTCATGATTGCAGCATCTCCATAGCAATCCCCACTGTCAGGCTTTCATCTAAGAGTTTTTATTCCTTGAAGAATAAAACAGAAGGGTCAGTAGGAAAGATAAAAACTGGATGGATAAGTGATAGAGCAGAATTACCTGAAGCCATTTGAGAACAAAAATTTATACCAGTGATAAATAAGCAAACATGAGTGATTTTTAAAGTCCAGATGGCGATGAAGTGTCCACACTAGTAAAGCAGAACCAACCAATCTGTATTCTTAGTACAGTATTTCTTCTACATTTCTTTCAATGGAGGCAACAAAATCATACTTCAAGTCTGCCAAAATGTAAATCATACCTGATTAGGTTTGATATTCTGTAAAGTGACGGTAACATTTGCTTTTAAGTTGCTAATTGTGAGGTTAGCAACACTTGATGATATAACATTGCTGATTAAAGATGCATTCTTCAAGGACAGATCCTGGAATGACCAAAAATAATCAGATTTTAAAATCTTAAAGAAAACAATAGTAGAGTACAGCACCCACAAGCTCAGTTATTATGCAGAGTGAACACTGGACAAAAACATTTACTTTTTAAATCAGGACGTTTTGAAATGTGTTTTGTGGGAAAAAAGTCCATTTATATTTTATTTTGCTCTAGGCTTGAGTTTAAAACCCTTACGAACAGAGGGTCAAAAAGATACCTGGAACACAGTGGTCTTTTTAAAGAAGTTGAATATAATTCTAGAAGCCAAGTCCAGCTCTTCAGGGGGTAAATTTGTCAGCAACGATGAAGGAAGCGTAATTGATCCGAGGTTATTTAAATCATGAATTGCATTAATGCCTAGAGAGATCTGAAAAATAAATGCAAGGATTATGCTTCATTTCAGTCACTAAAGAAAAATTAAATTATGACTTATTTTCAGTTTAGGACTTCGAAACACATATCTGTGTAATCACTGTCAGGAGCTCACTGCTGCTCTCTCATTCCTCTCCTGCTCCAATGAATAAATAGCATCTGCAGGCCTGAAAAGGTTAGACAGCCACCAAAGAAATTCCGAATCAATTCCACAAAAGCTTTCCTGTTGCTTTGATTTGAACTAGATGATACTTGTTGAAAATTCTCTGCATTTTATTGCCAGTGCCATGAGATTTCCAGAAAATCATTACTTAGCAAATATCTGTTTTTCAGCACTACCACCTCCTAGTCACCTCACATTCATGCACCACATATTGCTAAGAAAATAGAAAAGAACTCAAATGTTAACATTTCATATAATTTTCAGTATCACAGAACAGTTCCAGTACTACTTATGGCTCACGCTAGATCAAGCTATTTCCTTCTCTGAGAGGACATAATGTGCCAAAATTTGTACAGAACTTTCCATCTCTCCTTGCTTAAGCCGCCAAGGCTGGTATTGTCCAAATTATTATTTCCTCAACCAGGAGGGAGGTTTTGAGTGAGACAAAGTGAATCCAAACTTTCTAAGCACTTCTTTCGTGGTAGACCAACTAGTCATGAGTGACAAATGTATGAATGTCATTATCCAAGCAACATAATAGTTCTTTCCTGGAAGCCTCTGCAATTAATATCCTTCTAATAGATGAAGCCATCTGGCAACACTCCTTGACAAATTTCACCACTGTCAGGGTTGGTGATTAACTGACTCATGATTCAGGGTTTTTGAGGCAAAGTTATTCCGCCAAGCACTGTGTCCGTTCCGGTGTTCTGGCTGTACCACCTCTAACAGCTTATTAGTCAAATGCCAGTTTCTGCTAAGTCTGTTGCTTATTTACACCATAATAGAAAATGAAAGGAAAAACTATGGAGGGCTTCAAAAACAAAGTATTTTTTCTCTGAAACTAACATGAACAAAAGATCCTGAAATTGTGACATAAACACAGAACAAACTCATGTTACATATAAATATAACACTATAAATACTTAAAAATAAACGTTTGAGAATTTGTAAGTATTTAGAATTATCAGTGTTTAACCTGGAGATCAGCTGAGTCCTGGACAGCAAAAGACATTTGGTTGGAGCGGATGCTATTGGTTTTAACAACTGCCAGAGCCAAGGAAGGGGAGGCAAAATCAGCAGACGTTGCTGAAAAGTTCAGTTTTAAGCCAATATAATCCACCAGTTTTATAATTCTGTTAAGAAAAAGAGATATTTAGTATTACCAAGCACATACACCCAAAATTCTCAGGCAAATTGTGGTTATGGAGCTGCAATCCAAGTATAGTGTAAAATACAGCTGACCCTGCTTACTTACTGTGGCATCAACACAAAAAACCACACTGTTTTCCATGGCATATTGTAGTAGAGTTGGTAACACTAGAATGATACTCCTTCCGTTTTGTATAAGTACATTAAAGAACAAGAAATATTCTTTTGGATTATGATTATGAAAAAATGAAACTTGCTGAAGCCAGTTTATCAAGACAGTCAATACAACACACCTTTAATCTATTGCCAGAACGACCTACCTGTTAGAAATCCGGGATGGTAATGGCTGAGAAGCAGTCAGGACTTTGCTAACCTCACTAACCATCCTTTCTACATCTTGTGGCTCTACTTTTCCAGCTGCTAAATCATTTTCTATTTTGGACACGATTTGCTCAGCTGTGGTGATGTTAATGGTGGTATATACAGAAGTTGTGTATGTCGTAGGTGATAGTATCTTTCCTGTGACAAAAGAAAAGTTGTGCATTTATTTAAACATTGTGTTCAACAGATGAAGTAAGCTTTGAGAAGCAGAAAAATTAAGCGGTTCTCTTGACCAACAAACCTTACCACAAGTTGTAAGGTCTCTCAACATGTTATGTGAGACAGAATCCCTTTTTCTCCCTATCAGCTACTTTGCGGAGAGCAATACTTTAAGTCTTAGGAAAACATAAAGCAAGGTTTCAAATGGCCAGCATTAATTCCACTTTTTATTGATTATGAAGTTCCTCACATCAGGCCATTAGTAATGTTAAATAATCTATTATATTGGATTTTTAGCCACTGGATGCTTTAAAGTAGAGTAAAATAAAGGTAAGATCAGCAATTTGAAAAGAATCTTGTGAAGATGTGTACAATCTTCATAGGAAAATACATAGCCACTAAGAATATTCCTAATCAATAACAATATTTTAAGGAAGATCCAGCATTGATTTGCAATATTTTAAATACTAGCTTAGTAAAAAAAATAGCAACCTGGCTCTGTGACTTAATTTTTTCTGCCAAAGGTACTGTTGGGAACTTAGCACAATACCTATCTATCACAGTTACCAACCAGTTTGTAGGGTGAGGTATCACTCATCATGGCCAAAGGCATCAGAATGTATTTTAAAATAAGTATACAGCTCATGAGAGTTGTCTCAGGCTTTTCATAGTAATTGGAAGGTCACAGCTCAGATATATAATCTTGTTTAATAAAGTTTAAAAGCAAATTAAATATATGGCATTCAAATTTTTTAAAAAAATCATTTTACTTGTCATATTTACCTGTGCTCCCATTAGGCAGTCTACCATGGCCTTCAGCAGTAGAATGAGGATGAGAAGCTGAGACAGAATGGTTGACAGGACTAACAGTAGGGGTCAAAGTTATTGTGAAAGGAGTAAGGGGAAGAATAGGTGCTGTAGTAACATTTTTGTTACCAGAAATAGGTTGCGTCGAATCCGTAGCAGGATGAATTTGTGCAACAGATTTAGTGGTAGTCTCAAAGGGGGGAATTGCTATTGGAGGTTTGGGGGGGAGCTCCGAAGAGGAAACTACAGAATGTTTAGTGAAACTTATAGAAGGAGAAATTATTGTAATAGGCTTGCTAACATATGCAGCATCAGATTTATTTGAGAAAGCAGCATTAGTGACAGATTTTGTTGCAGGTGTGGAAGCAGTGACAGATTTATTAGAAGCTATGGAAGGAAAAGTTGGCACGGTAGGTTGAGCAAGAGACTCAGAAGAGGAAAGTGTAGTGGTAATACTGGTGGAAGACACAGAAGTTTCAGTAATAGATGTGGTAGAAGTTTCAGAGAGAGGATTTGTAGTGGGAGATTTGGAGAGAGTTCCAGAAAAAGAAATGTCTGTGAATGGTGGGATCAGTGGTCTAATTGTGGAGCTTTGTTTGGTAGAAAGTATAGTGGGGGAAATAAAAGTATTAGATTTGGGGGAAGTCTTTTTAGGGAGAGAAGGAGAATGAGGGAAAGGAACCCATATAGAATGAGGTGGCACTTGTATAGTACTGTAAAAAAAAAAAAAAAGCACAGAAATGCATGTTAAATTTAACATTGTTTCTATTTTAAAGAAAACAAGTTATAGTAGACGAATATATATGAATAATATACATATTACTAATAATAATATACATACTACTACTAATAATGTATATTTTAAAATCAATCAGATTGGATGTTTCATGCTTTAGTAACAAATACGAATTCCATAACATTTTGAAGGTTCTTACATTCTGTTTTGCTGTAGGTATTAACCAGCAAGTCTATAAATACTACTACTGCCTTTGCTGCCTATTCTGGAGGTGACCTGACGCTAAACACAAAAGCTATCTGCATCAGGTAGGAAAAAAAAAAAGGAAAAAAAATAAAGGAAAAAAAAAAAAGAAAAAAAAGGAAAAAAAAAAAAGAAAGGCAAGAGAAGAGAAGGGAGGAGGGGAAGAGGGAGTAATAAGGAGGGAGCTATATAGGAAAATGCCTGTCAGGTTGTTCTTGTGGAGTCCTTCCTAGCTATTACACTGCAACATGGAAGTTGACTCTATTAATGCATTAGGAAATTTAGGAAATAAGCAAGTCAAATTTTGTATTTATACTTACTACATTTGTAATTCTTCAGCAGTCAAGGAACAATACTTCAGTGATGAACAGCAGCACCGTTCTGAGATGACAAAGCAGCATTAACCTGATTTATCTTGAAGCATAAAAATTGCTAATACTGTTAAGTAGGATATCCAAATAAGTGTTTTATGTTTTTCGAACAATAGTGCATATTGCATAATTGATTTTGAGTTTTTTTCTGAAATGACATTTGCGAAACAGATTTTGACCAGTCAGAATACTGCAATACCCCCAGTTTTTTGCTCAATGCCTGACAAGTACAGATTTCTCTTTTTGTTATTGTAAACAAACCAAAATGCAAAGCTACATCTTTTGAAACAAAGGGACAAATGGTATGAGCACCACTCCCTACTGTTACAATATCACTAAGAAAGCTTGGCTATTTTATAAACTTTTCAATTCAGACCACCATTCCAGTAACACATGCATGTTCTCAAGTAATTTTACACCTAATCCTTTCAAAGCCTGCATTATTAATGTAATTTTATAGCAAAGTTTTTTTAAACATATTTCTGTCTTCCCCATCCCCACCCAAAAATCAAAAGGCTGCATTTTTGATGTATTTATATTGTTCAACAAAAATTTTTTTTTATCTAAAGGTAAATAACAATCTTTTCTTTTTAGCTACCTGGAGGTCACCTGTAAAGATACGAAATTTAATCTGAAAGGGTAACTGTGATGAGACTGTGTTTAAAGCATAACTTACCAAGTTGGCTTATTTCTGCTTTGCCTTTTAAGCTGCTTATATTCTCTCTCTCAGCCAGCTTCATTATGAAATTGCAGTGTATACTATAATAAGAAGAAAAAGCTTTAGACTCAAGAAACAGATCTGCCTCGTCTTTACAACGCATGAAACTAACATCAAATGCTAAGTGAAAGCACATTAGCACAAATGTCAAGTGTGAAAGCACATTTTTCCTAGGCTTTTTAAGATTTTGGGATATTTTTAATGCACATAAAACACTGTGCCAGGCTAAAAAGAAGAGTAATACATCAGTTTGTGGCAGCTTATTTTCTCTTTTCTCTACACTGTTGATTCTTAAATGGGGTCCTCCCTAATTAATGTTAGCCATTAAAGAGTTGATACTTTTGTGAAGATAATAACGTAATCTCCACTGTTACTGCAAAGAAACTCCAGAGAGGAACTAGCAAGTGTCCTAGGTGGCTATGTCAGTGTATATGAAATCTCCACCACCTGGGGAAAGCCAGTGTTCTGTCTCTTGACTTTAGGGAGAACTGAAATGACCCACTTAAGCATGTAACTACACATTCACAATTATGGTTCAATGATGTGAAACCCTGCCTAAACTAGCAAACCTACAGTAAGAATTCTTCACGTTCAGCAAACTCAAACACACAGGTGAATGAAAAGGCAACACATAAAAGATTAAAAGCTTCTTTCCAACTAACAAGAATGAAAAGAGTACCCTAACTGCTGCCAGTATATGGCATGAAGGTGTGATCTGACTTTCTACTACTAGTTGAGTGTTTTGGACTTTTCTTTCATCCTAAACCAGGAAGATAAACCCCAAATTCAAGTATTTGGGTAAATGAAGTTCCACATTTTGTTTTAGAATATAGAGTTTCCAAGCTGATCAATTTAAAGGACCAGCAATTTAGTGGTGAGTAGCAATTAAATTGACAGACATTATCTACATTTCAGAGTTTCCAGGATCACCTCTGTGGAGCAGCCTTGCCATTCTGATAACCCATGGCTTCCAAACTCTGAACTGGCTACCTTTTCAGGCTTCCCCTATCCTGAGGATGGCTGGTTTCCCAAGCCAAAGAACAGCAACTTGGGATGTCTGAAGCAATTCCCTCATACAGATTGCATTGTATTCACAAGCTCTGGAAGTTTGGTGGTCCCAAATCCCATAGCCTTAGTGGTTAAGTTGCTATGTGACTCAGGTAATACAAAGATGCAGAAGAAATATGGCAGGCAAGCCTGGGCTTCACCAGAAGACTAATGAAAAGCAATACAGTTTGATTAAAAAAAAATTCTAAAAAAAAAAAATCACTAATGCTAGGAAAATAATGGGATCAGAATTTCTTTGTCAGTCTACATATATTTCTCCAGGTTGTTTCTCAAACTTAACTTCCTAGAAAGTTTGTTTTTTCTTCTGTTACATAGCCATTCATGTTTGATGTATCACAAGACAATATACGAGCTTTTAAATATATGAGCATTCAAAAAATTAACAACAAACCTCTGGTTTTCTGCACTGCATTCCATAACAGAAGACTGTAATGACAAGTGAAAACAGAAAAAAATTGTTTTGTCAGGAGAAAACACGATCGATACTTAGATAATTACATTATCAGAAATAAGTTGAAAAAAGTTTTCCAACAAGTAACAACAATTAGTAATCTTACCTCACTTACTGCTTGCAAGGTTTTGTTGAACTCTGAAATTCTTTAAAATAAAAAGTTACCATTATGGAGGATTTTTACTTATGTTTCTAAAGACAATTACAAGAATATAATGAAAAGAACAAGCAATTACTGAGAAAAAAATATTTTTTTCCAGTCGATCAGTGATTTTTTAAATACATGCCAGTTCTAATATTGTAAAACCACTTTTCGAAGGATTAAACATATTAAAAGTTGCCTTCTTCAGTCACTCCACAAACTAAGTTTAAACCTCTGTCATCACATATTTTAACATCAATCCACTTCTTTAAAAGTTATTTAAAAGAGCAAAAGATAAATCTTAATGTTTCCTTTTGTCAAGCAATCATTTGGAACACAATTCTAAATTTATAATCAAAGCCACAGAAATAAAATGAGTAACAAATATGGATTTCTTCTACAAACAAGACCTGTTGGCCAATTACATCTTTTTGATTTTCAGGGTAAACCTGATAAAGACTGTGAAAGAAGAAACTACACCAACATAAAAATATAGATATGACTCCAAGAATACATATTAAAAACCATGCAGCTAAGAAAGTTCTCTTAGTAATTTCCTAAGAGACAGACCAAATCCCTGAAATGATAAAAACCATTTGTTCATGAAGAGCAGCAGTCAGTCTGGCATTCTCAACAATCCACAGCTCATGTCCTCAGGTCTTATTTTAATTCTTATTCTTATTCTTATTCTTACTCTTATTCTTATTCTTTATTACTACCATTATTACTATTATTAACATCATCAGCATATAAACAACAAGGCCTTTGGGCCTTGTTGAGCCCCAAGAAAACTAAAGGACCTAAAAGGAAATCAGCAAGTGTACCATTTCTTAAAACAAACTCCAGTGGTACCTAAAACAAAACTAAGGCTATTCTAACCAGTATGGACTTTATGTTAAAGAACAATAACTTACAATTCCTGAAATTTTTAATTTATAAAGTGCAGGAATAATACAAAGTGAAGAGTCTGCTGACCATGTGGAAGGTCTCACTTCATCTTTTTCAAATATAACAAAAATTTCATTCCTTACTCAAAATTACTTACCTCAGTTCTTGTGGGGTAGGTGCTGGAATGGCAATTAATTTTGTAACTTGATTATTGATGGTTATGTTATTAATCTGTTAGAAACAAAGATTAAACAGCTAAGTAAAGCCAGTAATTTTTAGCCTTAAAAAAAACTTATGTTCATTTCACACATTTTAACAGCCTGAAATTCCAAAGGTAACACGCACATTTTCTCATGAATACACTTCAACAAATATTTACCGTGACATTGTTGTCACAACTTATGGAAGCAATTGGCTCAATGAATAACAGGATCTAATCTGTGAAAGGTATGGGCAAGAGGATAGTGACCTCACCATATCTCATGTTGGCAAAAGAGGAATTTGGCTAGTTTGCAACAAAGACAGCTTAGACCAGACACTGAACAAATTTTCTAACTCTAAGTGCAGCAATAGGAGAAGCTCCATAATAGACATAAGTAACAGGCAACATAGAATCCTGGGAGTCAGAAGTCAAAAACTGAGGTGAAAGACATGGTAGGAATGATCTAAATATATATGACCTAGCCTTAGGGCAGGGATACACTAAGGTTTATCTAAAGGCCCTTTATAGATCTGCATTCTTATGTTCTTCTGGTTGCCACCATTACCAGTTATTTTTACATTTCATGCAAGCAGCAAGCACCATGACGAAAACAGCATCTAACATATATGGTATTGACATTACCTAAGAAATATTCTGCTAAAAAGTAGAAGAGTTTCAAGAGACAGAAAACTCATTTTTCTAATAGCTGTAGGCATAATGTTAATACACTAGGACGATTTCAGTAGGCATTATCACCACTGAAACACAACACAATGCAGAGGTGGATTTTGCCAGGGTCCTACCCCTGCCCAAACTTAATGCTCCATGTGCACCTATGCAGTAGCTCTCTGCGGTGATTTTGCTGACTGCTCTCATGCTTGCAGAGATTAGCATGTGAAATCTCTGACTGAGTGCAGACAGGGATGTGTAGGAGAAAAAAAATACAAGGTCCTTTACAAGCTAATGTCTTTTTTTTCTCCTTTCAGTTTTCCACCTATAACAACTAAACATTCTGATCCTCATAGTATCATCTCGATACTGAATAATCTAAATAGTCCTTGCTTTGCACAATATCGTTCTCTTAAACCTCTGTTGTGTTGTGTAAGTGGACACACTCGTGTCACATAGGCCTACTGCAAAATTAATAACTGATTAACCATATGCCAAAAAGCATACAACAATACCGTATTTATGAGAGTCTCAACATGACTTATTCCCAGGATGCAATCCAACTTAATTTATGCCCACACTGTTGCCATTTAATGATGCTTGCCTTCTAAAGTAAAGTGCCTAAATTAATCTCCAAAGGAAGATCCTGTATGCCTAACTGTAGATTCTTAATTAGGCCCTTCCTCTCTCCAGACTTCCCAGGGCTTCTGCCTCCTTTCGGTGGCTATATAGAGAATACAGGCCTTCACTGTAGCAAGTTTACTTAGCTGGAATTCTAAAATTTAGCTGCAAAGCAGCTGTTTAAGAGAAAGAGAGTAGATCCATCCACTGCAAATATTAACTTGTACTGCAAACTGTATTTGAAATAAAATAAAACTATAAAAAAGATAATAAGAATCATGTTAGGGTATCAGTATTTTAAGTGTAGACAAAGAAACTCATTTCAACCTTCTTTACAATAAAGTTTTACAAGAGAGAACACTTACTATTTCTACATTTAGTGACGTGTTACTTTCTTCACTTGCCTGAAGTGTTACCTTGCCCACATAGAACACTAAAACCAAAAGGTAAAAAAGTTAAGAAAATCAACGCTAAACCACATGATGTAAAATTATTTGAGAATTTAAAAATTCACTGCCTTGTGTTACTATAGAAGGGAAATAATAACATTACACTAGCTTTTCTGATCATTCACTATTTTTGCAATTGTTCTTCCACCTCTTCACTTACTATTTCCACAAATGAACTAATCCAATAGTTTCATTATTTTCTGTATATTTATTTTTGCTGGCTGTCTCTAAATTCCTTCTAGTTCTTTTTTTTTTTTTTAAAAAACAGAAAAACTGCACTGGACAGTACTATTAATACAACTCCAACTCCCGCAATGAGAATAAAATGTGTGGGTGAAGGCAAAGTGATACTCTGAAAATTATTCCCTTGGGGATTAAAGAATTCAGAGTATCATTCAACAGTCCTTGAGAGCTGGTAGGCCCATTTTGGAGACAAAAAGGAACTTCCACACACTTCTCTTCCTGCAGCCACACATTCAGTGCAGGATATAGGTAAAGACCTGTACAGGAATGCATACATAACATCACCCAAATCATCTAACAATTTACTGTGTCAACCAGTAGGGAAAATTTATAGAGGCAGGGGCAGATACTTATTCTGCCTCTTTCTAATCTATAAAGTACTCAGCATATGGCTACTTGGCAGAAGTGACTTCATTTTCTTAACTATTTATCACAGAAGCTGTTTATCGAAGTGTTTTGGAAGGCAGCAACATGTATCAAGAAAATCTTCTTTTCCTACGTTTTGGTTAACACACTTAAAGGGAACATCACTGCCCTTTCCATTTTCCTTTGTTTGTCTGTTCTGTCACATTGCACTTTTAAAATACCTGCAGGTTTTACAATAATTCTCCTAAACACTATTTCAACTTCTATTCCTGATACAGAGTTAGGCTTAATATGGCAGACATTAGCATCTACCATAGCATTCTAGTTTCCTGTTTTCTCAGGTTTGTAATTCTTATCTGAACTGTGTATCCTTTGATAAGAAACCAAAGATCAAAAATACAATAGACTAAACATTACTTTCAAATAAACAACCCCACATTTTATATTAATTTTTTAGAAGATATCCAAAATCTCTCTAAATTAACAAGAAAATTTATTACAGAGCTAGCTTTTACATAGCAACTAAAAGTTGCCTCATTACTCAGAATAGAAAGTAGTTGGACACGTTTGTTATAAGAAAAAGAGGAAAAAGAAAACCACTAACCTGAAAAATTACAGACAGGTGTTATGTTGCATAAAATGGTTTCTCCTGCTATAGTTTTTTTGGGGAAAAAATAATCTAGTGAGTAAAAAAATTGAACTTAAACCCAGTACTGACAAACATAGATATTTACAATCATTTCAATGTTTTAAATGTAAAGGTCTTTACCTTTCAGAAATATTTCACATACTGTCTAGGCTTCACTTCTCTAGAGCACCTACCATGACATTTCCAAGACTTAGTATTCAGAGTGAAATATGCTAGTTTTGATTAATTAATTTTGAATAATTTTCTGTAACAGTTTCCACAGAAGACCTACATGCAAGTGGTCTCTATTTTTTTTTTTAAATCCAAATAAACCAGAAATCAGCAGGCTGCTAATATGACACACCATAATATCAAGAAAAAAGATCCTATTAGAAATATTTGGGAGCAGACTTCCTGACTCACACACACTTAAATTTTGAGGAGCATAAAAGAAGAGCAGTGGTGATATATGAATCCTACCTGGTGTTATGGTGGAGTAATAATCAGTGATGTTAAGAGCTTCTGTTAAAAAAAAAAAAGTTTTAAAATTAAGTTTTCCCATTTTAACTTAAAAATCCTTTGAAATACATATCACAAAAATAAGTTTCCTAATTTCTGCTTTAGACTCTGTCTTCCCAGAAGAAGTGTAAACACATGACCATTTATAATGGAATTAAGTTACTTTCAGCATGGGAAATGAAAAAGCAGCATTTGGAGTGAGATCCATCCAATCAAATGTTTGTGTCCCCATATAAGCCAGTTACTCCAGGCTCCCTATCATTCAGTGGAGAAAGTGGTGCTTTTAAAGTGTGATTCCCATTTAACCTATTCTACATGGGCACTTCAGCATAAGATGAATCATATTCTAAAAATGTGTCTTTCTCTCCATCAACTATGAAGAATAGCAGGATGTCTATAGCTCATATACAGACATGTAGGAATCTGTAATGATACAGGATGAACCTACTCCTTGTTTACAAATGCAAACATCAGGAAAAAAAGGGGTAGCAAGTTCTTCTGGTTGAGTCTTTACTCATCCTATTTGACAACTCATTACAAGAATATATATCATGTAAGTGTCTTTAAGGAATAGGGTGTACATTTTAGTTCTCTAAAATACTTTCAATAGTATCAGAAAATATAGAAAACACTCTATCTATATATATACCAAAAAACTACATACTTGCTAAAAATAAATATGCCCAATTTGGGCTTTGGTAAACAATGTAATATTCTGAATAAAAAAGAAAGGTTAACAGCTCAGTGTCAGTTAAATGCACTTCAAAACCCTACCCATGCAGTCTTAAAATACAGATTGGAGATAAATACAAATTTTAAGATCATGTAAGAAAAGAATTTGGATTAAACAAATCCCAGTTATTAAAAAAAAAAGCAAGCAAACTTTCATGAATGCAACAAACGTCTCCCTTCAGACCTTACTCTCTTCATGCTAATTCTCACCTGCAGTTTGTGTAGTCTCCTCTGAAGTCATATCTGAAGAAGAAAAATTAATAACAGTAAAAACAATTAAAATAAAATAAAAATCTTAAAAATCTAAATCTAAGTAAATCTAAATAAGAGAAACGTTAATAAAACCTTGCCTGAAGGATTAATAGGATAGGTGATAAAAGTAACAATAGAGGATTCTGGAAAAAAAAAAAAAAGAGAAAAGAAGTAAAAACTGTATTAATATTATATTTTATTTCTATGAATTTTGGAGAAAAAAGATCAAGCATGCAAAACTTGGAACAGGAACTGAATATTATTTATCTAAGTTCCATTTTAAGAGCAACTGCAGTGCTTGTTAAGAATGTTCACATTATTTCAATATAAATATTTGAAATAATATTCATTATTTTAAAAATTTGAGTATCTGAATACAAACAGTTGGTAATTGAGTTCCTTCAGATAAGTTCCTTTTACTGGTTTCATTCTTTTAGAAGATGCAGATGCATTTGGCATATCCGATAGCAACAACCACTTAGCCCCAAGGACCTTTTCCTGCACGAACTCACAACGCTCATGAGCAGAGATGACACACTCGGTTTGGCAAACTCTCCAAAAAAGCTATTTTTGCCAGTAACCATATATAAATAAAACCATTTATAAATAAAAAAAAGAGTGAGGATGCAATTTTTTTTCAGCTACATCAAAAGGGAAAAAAAAAGAAAATTACATTAAAACAATAGAAGAAAATTTAAAGATTGCTCAGGAAGGATGTGCTTAGTAAGCACATTTTAGGTGTCAGTGCAGGAATACAAAGTGGTTAAAGGACCACTTTATATCACTCCAATATGACAACTTAGTGACTTTTTTAAAATGGACCAGAGCAGCTTCATAACGGAACATTATGCTTTCCAAACTTCTTTCCTAAAAGCATCACTGTCATGATGCTTTTAGTAAATGCACCATATGCAAAAATATCTCAAGTATAATATCTCAAGAAAAGTTGGTGGCTCTGCATAAAAATGCTTTTAGTAAAAATAAAGATATAAGCATAAAGATGCTTTTAGTAAATGCACCATATGCAAAAATATCTCAAGTATAATATCTCAAGAAAAGTTGGTGGCTCTGCATAAAGATGCTTTTAGTAAAAATAAAGATATAAGCATAAAGATGCTTTTAGTAAATGCACCATATGCAAAATATCTCAAGTATAATAAAGAAAAGTTGGTGGCTCTGCATAAAGATAGTTGCATATCAAGAAAAAAAAGCAATCTACTTCATTACATGGAAAGAGAAAGGGAGCTTTTCTTTCTGATGTATTTACTTCAACTAGACTAGCCATTTTGAGCCTTTTCAAAAAGCGCCCTCTTAATTCCATACTCAGAGTAAAAGCTAAGCATATTTGGTTCTTAAGTAACAATCCTGAAGACAACTGATTTTCTAAGGCAACTACAAGCAGCCAAAATATGAGGAATCAGAGTGAAAACTAAGTGCTGACTTAATCTGTATTATTTGGCTTGATATAAACTACAACAAATATTGAATTGGCTGCAAAAACGAATCATTCCCAGAGAAAGATTGTATCTGTAGAACAACAACAGCATGTGTGCTTGTGTCTGTTATTATTTCTTTTCTCCAGAGCACAATATGTCAATATACATTAAGTAAGAAAGCAACTGGCTTTCACGCAGCTATTTCTATGTGTCTACATTCTTCATTTTTTAAAAATGCTTTCATAGATGATATTCATCACCTCTGGTCCCAGAAGCTATTAGTGTCTCGTGCGTGTGCGCGTGTGCATGTGCATGTGTGTAGAATACCACATTGCATCAAATGACATATGCACATCTGCTAGGGTAAAGGAGCTCTCTCACTACAGTGTTCCTCCTCTGCCATCTCTGCAAACTGTTTAGGTTACTGGACAAAAGGCTCCTGATCAAGCAACTTGCACCTACTTCATCCCCAAGCATCACTGCCACAAACCATGACTGATCCTATAAGGTAAGCTATCTCATTACAAAGTAGAATGAAGAAATTAATTTTCTCTTCAAAAAATAAACAATGAAAACATTAAATGTTGGAACTCATTTACATAACAGCTTTTCTGCATTATCTCAGATAAAAGCAGATTTATCTAACAGGAAATAACAAACATTGTAGTAATCAGTAAAGTCCTGATTTTCTTACCAGAAATGGTTGTTGCAGCTGATTCTCCTGAATTTGCAGCTTTTGTTTCAGACAGAAAAAAAAAAAGAGGGAAAAAAAGGACAATAATGAAGTTTCAGATACATACATAACCATTCTCAGCAGCCTTTCCGTGTATTATCAAAAGTTTACTGCATTCACCAGAAGAGGGCAACACCTGCTTATCAGAAGAACACCTCCAGGTTGTCAAAAAAGGCAGATGTGACAATCTCTGATTAAAAAAATTACAATTCTTGTGAATTCAAATAGAATTCAACTGAAGACGATTTCTTTTCAACAAATACTTGCTTGCATTGTATAACTTTAAGAAAACAAAAATCATTGACCCAAGATACGTGCCACACTAGCCTGAAAGCTGCATGCCTACCCTGAGTGTCTTGCTAATTCTAGGAATGGGAATCAAGCGTACATAACAAGATGGCTGTAGTTGGGTATGAAAAACCTTTCTCAGACTTTGAATAGTAACACTGAGACTTGCCGTTTAAAATTCATCCCATACATATCTGTTCTCTTTTCCACCCTGCAAAAAGCAGCATTACAAAAAGCTAATTCATTTCAAGTTTGTATCTCTGATCTTGATAGGAGTCAGCCAACTATTTATATAGCAAACACTAGCCACCAAATCTTTGATGTTGTTACAGTCAGTATTTTGATCAAAAAAGAAATTAGGAAATTTGATATCTGGTTCACATAGCAACTTCAAAGTCAGCCCTTTCATTCACCGAGTGGTTTTTGACAGTGCCATGGACAAGTCAAGTCACAGTTATCACAGAAATATAATCTAAAGAACAGCTGGCTGCAAGTATGAAACACTTTAAAAAAATATACTTAAGGTATTTCAGCATCTTCTCTCAAAACTCAAAAGTCATCCTATAATGTTACTTACAATACACTAATTATACTGTAAAGCCTTTCCTACTGTTGCAGGAGAGTTAAGTCAGAGATACCAAAAGTCTCTGTGGAAACCCAGGTTTTTTGGTTAAACATAGTAAACAAGGAGTTTCTGAAATGCTAATCACTCATATGATTCCTTGCTCAGACTATTTTGCCTGCCTTACTGAAAACGAGTAATAGCTTCTTTCCACAGGATAAACGTAAATATAATTTCATTATGAAATTCAATTACGAAAGGAGAATCGGAGTCATCTCAGTGACTGTATTTTCATTTTCTCTGGACAATTACTGATGCTATTTGCACCATGAAATATGCTAATAAGCCACAAGGATTATATGGATAATTAATTTGCAAGTATTTACATATTCTTAACTATCTCCACGAATTAAAAAATAACAGCGGCAGCAATCTTCATAGCACTTTCTAAAATACAACAATGGGGAAAAAATTACACAGAACCCCCATATACCTGTTATCTGTTTTCTGCCGGGCAACGTAGCAGCAGTTTCAACTACAAAGGAAGAAGATTTTTTAGGAGCAGAAGTTTTTATATATATTTGTACACACACATATATACACACACTTTTTTAAACACAACCATTTTAGATGTGCTACTCACCTCAATTCAAGCTGGTTTGCAAAACTACTTTGCTTCCATTGAGAAATGTGTGTCGAGTCTTTTTGAAAGCTGGAAGTTGAACTCTTTTGAGTTCAGTTTTTTACTCAGTTTATCTTTTATACTTATGGAAGACACAGATCAGACTGTGAGCTTCCCCACTGCCTGTCCATTGCCAATGTCTTCAGAAATCCTCTCAGCACATTTGCTTGAGTGAAGATAAAATAAACTAAATAGCAGCAAACAAAAATGTAACAGGTACAACTGTGCTTTCACACAGCTATTTTTGCAAAAATGTGGAAAAGAAATGCTGATGAATTATTCAAGAAGAGAAATTTTATTAGTACAAAGAGAAACAGAGAAATTAAAAAAAAAAGCAGGGGGCAGGAGAGTTGAGTAAGACAAGGATGCTTTGTTCCATACATATTTACAAATTACATGAGATGTACTTTGAGAATACATCTGCATCATGAGCATCATGTAGATGCTCACATGCCCAAGAGCTGCACCACCAAGGAACATCTAAACAATGAGCAGTTAGATCAGGCTGCCAGAAATGAAGCAGCTCAGGTGCACCTGGACTGGGAATGAAAAGGTGAGCTATTTCTACCTCAATGGGCCCATGAAACATGTCCCTAGAGACACCTAGGGAGAGATGCAACATACAGATGGGCTCTTGATCAAGGTGTGGAATTGAAGCTATTGCACAGGCTACCCATGAATGTGAAACATGCGCCATAATCAAGTGAGCCAAGTGACTAAAGTCTCCCTGGAATAGAAGATGGTGGCTGGGCTATCAATATGAGGAAGCCTAGCAGATAGATTACATCAGACCACCGCTGCAAACCTGCCACCAAGGCAAGTGCTCTGTGCTTTCCGTGGTGGAGGCGACTAGCAGGTGGCTAGAAATGTACCCTGTAGCCTATGCCACCACCCAAAACATCATCCTGGGCCTTGAAAAACAAGTGGCAACACAGCACGACATACAGTTAAGGCATTGTCACCTACTTCAGCACCCTTGACAGCTGAAACCCTGGCTGTTGGGGCAAGGAGGAAAAGCTATTCTCCTCAAGACACTGAACCTAGTGGGACACTCTAGCCACAGCCAAGATGCAGGCCCACAGGGTTGCGGAGGAAGAGATTCTCTTTGAATTGCTGGAGCTGGTGGGACAGTTTCTCCACAGCTAGTGCCTTGATATCCGGCCAGTCCATCATCATCAAGGTGTTGGCATATTGCACTGGTGCATACTGTACTAACCTCTGCCACATGGCCCATGTGCAATGGACGTCATCCACATCTTTGGAGACCTGGTTGTTGTCTAGGTTGCTGTAGACCACCTCCACCACTGCTAATTCCGTCAGGTACTGGACACCTTCCTTCTTCCATCAGTGGTGGTCCACTTGCATCAGTAGTCTACAAGACCATCCTCAGACTCTGAATCCAGTGATCCAAGTTCAAATCTCTGTGGGACCTCC